GGGGTAGTAAATACATGAGGATGACCACTTTTTAACTTCTTACTAAAACACCAACAGAGGAGCACACCAAATGAACAGCTCAATGCTCTTCCGCAATCGGATGAGACACCTCTAATTTGAAACCGCCCTATGAGGTAGGCAGGATTTTCCCCATTTTTACAGATAAGAAAACTAAGACGCAGAGAGGTGAAACAAGAATTTTCAACAATTCTATGCAGTCCCTCTGCCTTAAGGAGAGCTGTGCGGAAGGGACTGAATTGAAACAGCAGCAGACAGGGAGGTAAATGAAGGCACCAAGGGGGTGATAAACAGATGAAGGGAGTAAGGCAAACAACTGCAGGTCCCGAGAAGGCGCACCTATTTCAGCAAAGTACCTGGAGTAGGAACAGTACACAGGTCCACCACAACAACCGTAGTCCCTGAGGCCCAAGAGGCGTCTCAGGAATAATCTACTGAAAGCTTCAAAACTGGAGACAAAATTGGCAAATTTGAAAACAGAATGCAAGGACGGGCGAGGAGGTTGTCTCAGGACTGAATGAAGCTTTATAGGGGGTCTCATGCCACATGGCCCGCTCAATTCTAAGGGTAATCAAATTGCTGACAACACCTTTCCTGCCTCTAAGATTACTTTAGCAATAGAAATGACAATTTCTAGTGATTTTATTTAGCATTTCCAAAATGAATGTGAGAATTTTTTACATACTTACTCCATTTGAATTCACGGTACAGGCTTGAGTTCAGCTATTTAATTTCAAATAAATCCTACCTAGGAAAATGTGGTCAACTGTATGCTCTAGTGGAATTCTGCTGGAAAGATTAGTACAGTGTTCTGATGGCCTGGAGGGGCAAACAAATGATCTTTAGAAATTCGAAATCGGTTCATTGTCGCTTAGTTTTTCCTTGGTTTTTTTAAATGTAAGTGGCTATTTTTTTTTAATGAAGGAAAGGTGGTCTAAATATGCCCAGTAATCCAATGAAATATTTCCAAGATACTGAAAGATTCCAGTGAGACATGGGGATCCTTTCTAGGCTTGTTTTTATGTCTCCCTTCTGTTTTCATTAAAGTAACTCTCAAAGATTAAATAACTAGGACCCAAGTGGAAGGAAAAGATACAAGTTGTTTACTTCCACTCTAGCAGGCAGGCTGGGTACAGTCAGACAGATCACAAGAACCATAATTCTGTCCTCCAGGATCTCCCATCAGGAGCCACCAGGGAGCAGCAGATAACTAAGTCACTCCTTGCCTCCTCCAGGGAGACGCTTGCACGGAAATGAATAGGAAAGATCACAGGGAGGGTAGGAGGGAAGAGAAACAATAACAGTACCAATATTCACATCCATGAGGCTTTACGATCTCCCCCTTTACTGAGCAGGATGTGTCTCTTTAGTCCCTTTGCGTGGATCAGCAATCCAGGTCCCAAGAATGGGAGAACAAGAATTCATCCAAAATCATCCCATGTGTGCCCGACACGGGATTTGAAGAAAGACACGTAAAATTTTAATCCTAATTTTACCCTTAACACATGCGTCAGCCATATTGATGTTCCATTACCTCTGCTTGACCTCATTCCCTCATCTGTAAAATGGAGCTGAGAATAGCATCCTTCTGAAAGATTGTCATGGGGATCAAATGATAGAGTGCATGTCAAGTAGGATGGACACTTTGGCTCATAATGTTCAATAACGCTATCATAACATTTGTAAAGTATCGTATGGTTCATACAAAGTATAGCCAATTCCATTACATTTCAAGTACCAGGCGGTGCTAAACTGTCTATGTGTAAGAAAAAAAAATTGTTTAGTATTGCAGCCTATCCCTTAACTCACAGAGGACTGGATGTAAGTTGTAAACAGAAATGAGCTGACACATTGAATATAAAGAGATATTTTAAACAACAAAGGTAATCAGAAGAATTTAGCTCAGTCTGGTAACGGTAGAGAAGAAAACTGTTTTCTACATAATGTCACTATGGGGTAGGAATGAGGGAAGAACGGAAGGAAGAAATGGAGGGATAAAAAAAACTCCTGGAAAAAACACACACACACACACACACACACACACACACACACACACACACACACACAAATAAAAAGTATTTTGTCCATTCTATCACTGAGTAAAACAATACTCAGAAAGATAAAGGGGTTCCCAGAATACAGAATCCCTCAGCTAGTGAGTGGCAAACCTAGGTCTCAGCAAATCTACCTCCAGGATACATTCTATATGAATTAAATCATTGGAATACTAATATGATTCCTACTATCTTTCTTGTTTGAGGATAATACTAATCATCAAATTATTTTCCTCGTAACTTCCCTTTTCTCTCTGAAAACCTTGACAAAGTGCCAAGTTTCCTAAAACCCACCAACCCTAGGAGTCACAGCTGACAATGACGAAAGTACCAAGTTTACAGTAGAAGGGCAGAAGCAGACATGGGAGAATTCTCCTCGGAATACTCAGAAATTCTATGATAATTCACAAGTGCTTTAACAACACAGGATCTTGTTTGGGTTTTTGTCCTTTTTTTGTTTTTGTTTTTGTTTTTACTTATGAAATAGAGCAAGAATAGTTTCTACCTCCTGGAATTGCCACAATGCCATGTCAAAATCTTTAGCTGGAGTGCACAGTACATACTAACCTTGCTAAATAAACATCCCCCGGCACTGGAAAACACCATCCAGTCCAAAATTAACTCCTCTAGTCTGACCACAGAAATCGTCGAAGCATCTTTATAAAAGCCAGTTCCAGAACGATCCTGTAGATACTCTTGTAAAACAGCCAAGTGCTTGAATAATCTCACAGCCTGGAATCTAATTTTCCTATCATTCCTCAGGCTTTCCCTGTCCTGAGATTGCCGTGGTGATAATGTGGGTATCTAGTCACAACATGGTATGTGTTATGCTCTTTATTTCCAAAGCACATTCGCATTCTTACCTTGTTGATTCTAAAACAAAGGGGCAAGTCAGGGAGGGTAGGTAATATCCCACAAAAAGGATGAGGAAACACAGAAAACAGGAGAGATTAACATTAGCCACTATCATTACACACCAGGTGTGCCCCAGTGTTCTGCGTACATTAGCCCATGTAAACTTCTTAGGAGCCCATTCAAGTAGGTGTTGTTATTTTATTTTCAGGAAAGAAAAGTGAGACTCAGAAAAGAAGGTCATATGTTCACATGTAGCTGGAAGTTATAGTTTTCCTTGTTAACAAATTCAGAAAAGAAACTCACTAAAGATGTGCTAAGTGTGTAAGTTTGAAAAACATCAAAAGATAGTTTTACATTGGTAATACAAGTTAGGATAGAATGTGAATTCAGTACAACGTTTTGGACTCACCAAAATAGGATACATAAGGGAGTGTTTTCTCTGAATTTGTCATATGTTAATGGGCTGGACATTGTCAATGTAATTCTTGACTGTATACATTGTATATAGTTATTGTACATATTGTATATAGTTTTTCTTATATTAGTTATAACCTTCCTTTATTATTTTAGATAAAAAAAAAAAGGAAACTGATATTTTGCTGTACTCTAAGAAGGCTTACCTGAAGATCAGAGGACAGAGCCAGCTGCAGAGTTAGCCCCAGAGATTAGGCAGTGTTGGCACACACCTTTAATCCTAGCACTCTGGAGGCAGAGATCTGTCTGAATCTCTATGAGTTCAAAGCCACCCTGGATTATACTAGATTAATCCAGTTTAAAAGAGAAACAGCTAGGCAGTGGTGATATACACCTTTAATCCCAGTACTTGGGAGTCACACACCTTTAATCCCAGCACCATGAAGGCTGAGACAGGCAGTGATATGACAAGGCAGAGAAAGGAATATAAAGTGGAAGAAAACAGGAATTAGGCCCTTTCAGCTGAGGACTCAGAAGCAATCAGTCTGAGGATCTTCTCTTTTTAGCTGAGGAGTTGACAAGGTGAGAAGTGGCTGTGGCTTGTTTCCTCTGATCTTTCAGAATTTACCCCAATATCTGGCTCTGGGTTTTTATTATAAGACCATTTAGGATTCATGCAACATTCACATTCCTCCAGATAGGTAGTGGAGGAGCTGGGACTCAAGTCTGGACCTGTCATCCTCCAAAATCAATCAACTTACCAAAAAAAAAAAAAAAAAATCACTCAAACTATTAATCGCTAGCACCATATGATAATTTGCATATTATAAACTTCTAACTCATAGTCCAAGACACCTTTCGTTAAAACCATTCATTCAGCCAGTTTGAACTGGTCAAGGTGCTGATGCCACACTCATCTGTAGCTAAGACAGTCTCTGCCACATACAACTGCCTGTCAACTGTCCACTACTTCCAGTCTCCTATTCTTAGCTTTCCAGCCCATGCCTCAAATTGTGTGGCTCCTCTAATGCTGATAGGAGAAAAGTGAAAGGATAAAACATATTGCATGTTTCTTCTCCTTTTATTAATTTATTAATTAATTTGTTATTTGAGAACTTCATCGGTAGATTACTCGATGAGTACTCTAACGCCCTACTGTCTCTTTAAATCCCTCCCACTCCTATCTACCCCTCTTCTTCCACAAAACTCTATTTCTTACATTCATGTCTATTTCTTGTGTTCTGTGACCCACTGAGTCTAACCAATGCCTTCTGTGGTTTGGAGCTCTCTTCTATGTGGCCACGCATTTGGAGATATCTACTAACATCTCGTGGGCTCAACAGTGGGTTCAAAGGAAGAAAATGAGCCACTGCCCACTCCCAACATCTACCAATAGCCAAGAGTTCAGCAATAAGGGGCAGGGACCCATCCATGACAAATTATTGACAGTCAGTCTTGTGAGGGCCCAGTGCAGGTAACTGCAGCTACTGTGATGATTGCAACTGAAGTTCTTTCTTTTCAGCTGTCCATTCCTTGTGGCCTAGGTATATTCCCATATCCAAGTTGCAATGGCATTTCGAGCATGATCTCCTTCCCCTGAGGAGAATGTTATCAATCCTTATTTGAGATGATCGACTCTTTCTTGCTTTGTTTTAAAAGGAGCTGATGGTGAAAAAGGAGACACAGGAGAAGGAGGCAAGGATGGCAAGGTGGGACGCAGGGGACCAAAAGGTACGCTAACCTGTCTGAAACTGCCACTGTGATGTGCAGATGTTCATTCTCTCCTGTCCCCTGTCTTGGAAATCACAAAGCTCTTTGGCCCAGAGATACATGTAATGTGCTTCAGATGTGAGTTACAGAACCAACCAAGGCTCCTATGAGTTTGCCTGGTGGCTAGACTTTGTGGTATTTCTCAAGCTGTATCATTAAGGCTGGTCAGAGTGGTTCATGCTCTGTCGTGCAGGGAGTAGCACTCTCAGAGAAAATATAAGATGGTGAGTTACAGGAAACATAGCTGTGTTCGGAGAAAGAGCTGCCTGGTCCTTTGAAGGACTCATCTTTTCCCAATCTCTGTATTTCTTTACTCCTCTTTCCTTATAATAGAACATGACATAATAGGGTGATGACAGATCCTGCAGGGGGTGGAAGCACAGCAGACAAGGGCAGCACAAAAGCTATTTGGATGATTTAATGAATCAACCCAAGATTAAACCTTACTAAAGCTAAATAATAATCAAAAAGCTTCTATGTTGCCACCATGTATCTTCCAAATACCTGAGTTCTTCCTCCACTCACCAAATGGTTCCCATGGGCCACTCATTTTAAATTTTTGAATAATTTAAAAAGTTTAAAATACCCTTAAACCCTCTGAACCTCAGTCTGAAAAAGACTGACTTAAGCTCATTCTGGAAGTTCTTATGTCAGTTGCTAAGTTGTTCTCACAAAATCCATTTGTAACTAGTAAATGTTTTTTATATTATCACTTCCTGTTACTTATTTATCAGGTTGTGGGTTTTTTTTTCTTTTGTTTTGCTTTTTGCTTTTTTTTTTTTTTTATGAGAGTTCTTGCTATGTAGCCTTGGCTGGTTTGAAATTTGCTCTGTTGACTCAGGCTGGCCTCTAACTCATAAAGATCTGTCTGCCTCTGCCTCCCGAGTACTAAGATTAAAGGTGTGTGCCACCATACCCATTTTTATCATTTTTGACATTATTTTTATTTTTAAAAGCAAGCAATGACTTTAGAATATTTTAGGGATAAGTCTTAGGATTCCAAGCTTAGCAATAAAGCAAGCTGTGATGGATCACATATTCAATCCCGTCATCCAGGAGGCTGGAGGCAGAACCACTGTATTTGAGATCAACCTGGCACACACAGTGAACTCCCAGCCAATCTGGGCTACAGTTCAAGATGCTGTCTCAAAAAACAAAAATGAGCAACAGAACTTCAGCAAGACAATTGCTGGTGTCTCTTTCCTCACCATATTTTATGGCTACACATTCCCTTCCTTGTTTTGAAGTAGCTATAACTGTTGAATCTTGTTTGAAAGCAAAGAGAGAAACCAATCCTAAAGCAAAGCCAGACATGTATCTAAAGGTGAACATATCTAAAAACAAACTCTGCTGCTTAGCTACCCTTTCTTTCACAAATCCTCTCCTGAGAATATTGCTGGAGTAAATATTCTAATACCAACATACTCAGAGTTGTCAGAATCACTCACATTTCAATGAATAGATAGTGTCTGACTCTGTTTAAACATAGTACACATAGCATAAGATACATGTTAGTGTCTTGCTTTCATTTCCTGATACTGTGATAAAATGCTCTGAAGAAAAAAAAAAAAAGCAACTTAAAGGGGAAAGTGCTTCTGGCTCTGTGTGACACTCCATCACAGGCAGGAAGCCACAGAAGTGGAAGCTTGAGGGATCTTACACATTGCAACCACAATGGAACAGAAAGCAAGGGAAGCAAGTGTGTCTACCCACCTCCTTCTTTTCTTTTATGTGTGTGTTTATAGTCTAAGACCCAAACCCAGGGAATGCTTCCACCCACGATGAATGAGTCTTCCCACCACAATTAGCATAACCAAGACAGATATGCCTGCAGGTCAACCTAACTGTTGAGAAAATTAATCATCCAATTAGGTCTTGATAGATAGATGATACATAGATAGATAGATAGATAGATAGATAGATAGATAGATAGATAGATAGATAGATGTATATATGTATATGTATGTATATATTTCTTTGAATTAAAGATCATGTTAGTCACATCCTTAAAGGAAAGAAAAGGCCTCATGCTATAATAATGACTTGCTTTGTTTTTCAGGAGTAAAAGGAGAGCTGGGTGATATGGGAGCCCAGGGCAATATTGGCAAGTCTGGCCCCATTGGCAAGAAGGGTAAGTTGGCCATGTCATTTTCCAGTTCAAATAAAAGCAAGGGAACACACAGTGAACACATTATGTCATGAAAATGATGGCTTTTCTTTCTTTTAAATGGTGTTTTTTCTGTCTCCCTAACTTGAGTCTTACACAAGAAAGCTCTCATAGCTCAGAACCAGAAAGACATGGAGCAAATTTAAGCAAGATTTCAAAACAGAGTCAAGCATAAACTTCTGGAAGGCTCTATATTGAACTCTGTCCCTGGATCTACTGCTATCTATTAACCCTTGCTAAGACCCAATGACAACATGATTCAAATACTGTCATGATTACTCATAAAACACAATGTAGAGAAGCATAAAGTAGAGGAATTAATAATACTGTCTCCATAATCTATTAGCAGGATAGGAAACTGAAGTATATACAAAAATGCTCACCATTTCCAATATATTCTGCTGTAAGTGCAACCTCGATATTAAAAACAAATAGTTGTTCCTTATTACCTAATCTCCTCTTCCCTGCCCTCTTCTCATAAAGCCTCACGGTGGTAACAAGTCCCAATTGTTCTCATATGCAGTAATTCATATGCAGGCATTGCTCCACTTGGAAACCCAAAGCTGAAGGAGAATCAGCAAGCATTGCCAACAACTCAGGGATCATTCAGAAAGATAAGATTGTCTCAAGAAGAATTATAAGCCTGGACAATATGAGTAGTAGACACACCAAATGGGAAAGAGAAACAGGATTCATATGGGGAGAAACTGAAATAGGTCTTGAGGAATAACAACGTGTTTATATGCACCAGATAAAGACATTTGAGGGAAAATGGAAGAAATAGTTCTACAAAGGTTCAGATTGGAAGAAGCTCAGTACCACGAATATTATGATTATTCACCCTGTATATACTCTCCATAATTCATAAATACTTGAGCCTTTGAATAATTGATCAAGTGCCTCATGGTGCTCAGCACTGGATTCTTTTTTTTTAAGTTTCTTTTTTATTAATTTTTTAAAAATTAAGTTTCCCCTCCCTCTTCTCCTCCCGTTCTGCCTCCCCCACCTCCTTTCTACACCCACTCCCCATCCAGTCCTCCTCTGTCTCCACTCAAAAAGGGGCAGGCTTCCCATGGGTGTCAACAAAGCATGGCACATCAAGTTGAGGCAGGACCAACCTTCTGTGTGACAGTTGTGTAGCTTGATCTGTTTTGGGGGCTCCTAGCAGCACTGAATTCTTAGAGTTAGGTTACCAGGGTGGAGTCTGAACTGAGGCTGTGGCCTTTAGTCTTACCTAGAGGCTCTGTATTTCCTCTTGTCTCCTCTCCCCCAGTTCTTCTCCACTTTGTTCCTTAAGGGTTTCCCTTCAGCTGCATTTGAAGACATGAATGGGCACGTTTCTTGTATATTCACCACTGGTTGAAGTCCTCACAGATGGGGAAAGCTACACACTAGTTCTTCACAGTCCAGTCAGCCTGCTGTAGCCGAGTCAGGTGGTTTTATCAAAAGCTGAGAAGTGTTGGCTTCAGAACACTTCATTTTCACAGGCCCTTCCCCAAACCCTGAGAGCCAGCCTAGTACGGTTTACGTGACCATATGTCTTGGTAAAATTTGTAAATTGAGACATTGCATCTCTGTCAGCTGAAGTAGTGATACTCTATTTTTAAAATATTTAAAATGATTGCCCCTCCAACAAGCATAACATGCAAACATGCACACATACATATAGATATATATGGATGTAATATATTTATAAATATTAAGGTACGTTCCTTTTTCAACCCTTGCACTCCTGAGGTGTTATTACCACTGACAAAGCACGAGTTAAGACCACTGTCTCCAGCTCTCATTTCCCTCTATCATCCTTCTTGTATTGGATGGTTTGGGAGTGGACACAAATATTCAGGGAGTGAACTAAGATGGGCTTAAGTGAAGAAAAACATTTAGTTTGGACTTAAGGTGATATGTTTATGTAGTTTGAAGTTACTTCCATAATCAGTCAAGTTATTACTAACAAGCACAATGTAGGAATGACTTCCAAGAATACTCCCGCCGCCTACTGTGCAGGTCAATACAAGTCATGAAACAGGAGTACTGACTGTGCCCAGTGATGTTCAGCATAAGAAATGTGGAGACATGGACAAGTTAAAAAAAAATGTTTGATAAACACAGGGCCAGAGATAATCAGGAGTTTTCCAGATCAGACATCTCAGGTATGACATGACAAAAGATTTTCCAGATTGTGTTCTCAAACATGCTGATAATCTGAACATGTGTATCTTATGAATAACAAGTTACAGGGATGGAAGCACATTAATATAGTTAATAACGAAACACATCCTGAGCAAGAGGCTGCAGCCTGTATCAGGCTAATCTTTCTGAAAATTCTAACCGGCTATGTTTAAAAGAAATAAGCATACATATATTTGAAGGTATGAGAGAATTGCCCAAATTAATAGGAGCATGACAGCCACACTCTGGAGTAGAAGGGGTCACACTAAAGTTGTGTATTCTGTGTGACTTTTTTCCTAGGATACCCACCAGCTCATGTACAGTGCCCTGTGTACAGAAGAAGGCGTCATTAAGAGTCTGAGATGTGAATAGAAAGATGCTCAGACTCAGTTGATTCTGAAAAATTGCCAAAGAGGGAGGCCTGGGAAAATGCTCCATATTTTTAGTTATAACTCCAGAAAATTTAAAAATATTTTAATTAAACATATACCAATTTGTGTTTTTTTAACATAGCAAATAAGTGTACAAGAAAATACTTGATCAAGAGGAGAATATAAACAACAAAAAATTACTTAAAAACATTCAATGATTAAAAAAATGAAAATGTCTCACTCGAGATTGGTAACAAGATTAGTATAGCTCCCTAGCACAAACTCTAACCAACATTTCTCATGAGCTTCTACCCATAGCACAAATTCAAGAAAAACAACTAGGAATCACAAGAGTAGAACACAAACTGAGATTCATTATATGTAGATGATTTATTACAGAACCAGAAAATAATAAGCTGCAGATAAGATGTCTGTATAGATAAGATTTTTAGGATGCCAAATAAACCAAAAAAATCAATTTGATTTCTACATAAGAATGATGAAATTAAAATAATACTATTTATCATAGAATCAAAGTTATTATGTACCCAGGAATAAATCTAGTAAAACTTATATAAGCTCTCTACGGTAAACACAACACAATGGTAATGAAATTAAAGGATACCAGAGGAAATGGAAACAAAGTTGTACAGATTATGAAACTCTATATTTTTTATATGTCAGTGCCTCCAGACACGATCTTTATATTCAATACCTTTTTGACCAAAATCTCAGAAATATTCTTTTGAAAATCAATAAGCTAATGCAAAATGTATGTGTAAATGAAAAGTACTAATAATACTTAGGACAGTCATATAATAAAACAAACAGTGTTGGAAGACACAAATTACTAAATTAAAATACTTACTGTAAAATTATAGTGTGGAGACGATATTAAAAGAAACAAACCAATGGAAATGAATAGAATCCAGAAACATCCAAATGGTTTATGCAAGGTTGATACCAATTTTCAATAGAATATCAGCAGCCTATCACTAAATAGGACTAGGTTAGTTACATATTTATGTTTCAAAAATAATAATTGGGCCACTGAGTTGTCTCAGTGTGTAAAAGTACATGCTGTTTTGCATAAACATATAATACAAATGGCAGAAGTATGTCTAAGGTCATTTCAGAAATTGTTGAGAATTCTGTCCAAATCCCAAGCCAAAATTCACTGAATGATATTTTGTGAAACTCTCGTCAGCAATTCAAACAGCAATTTTAAATATCAAACCTTCTAACACTATACAATCAAAAGCTATACTACATTGATATTTACCTGCTAAGGAATGACAATAGGAAAATGCGGTCTTTGTTTTCCATACCTGAAACAATGTGTTTATATACCTTTGTATATACACTAAAAACACTGACACCCGTAATATAGAGTCATCCTGAGTCTGAAGCAAGGTATTTCAGACAGCGTCCAGCCGTGTTGTGTAACATGACAGCGCACACTGTGCAAAGTGCACATGTTGTATGCTCAGAAACAAGGGTACAGTGAAGTCACGGGTTGCAACATGGGTGAGCTCTGCCACAAACACATCAGATTCGTTATATGATTAATTTTGAATTAGCTTTTGCTCTTGGCGTTTTCAGAAACCTTTTACTCCTGCCAAGTTTCTCATGACACCTCCACTTACTTATGTCACCCCAAACGTGGTCACAACCCACAATTTAAGAAACTCAGTAGTAAATGACAGAGACGAGGAAGAGTGACACATCTTTAGTATGGCTCACTAAGCCTCAAAGTGGATGGGCTTCCAGAAATGTTAATGTGTTAATGAAACTTTCCTCCTTCAGGTTAATTCCCCCTTCACCACTCAGGTATGCAGCACTCAGAGTACGTCTCTATCACTGTACGCAATGACAGGCGTGATTTTCTCACTCACCCCTGTAGAATGAAATACTTACTGGGTCTGCTGACTTACAACATATAAGCAAGGTGCTAGAAAGATAACATGATAGATAAGAGCACTTGCTGAAGAAGCCAAGGACCTGGGTTCAAATCCTAAAGACCAATTTTAAAAGATGGTGCAGCAACTGATTGGTACCTGTCATCACGGAGTTGTGGAGGGGAGAAGGGGAAGTGGGGACAAGAGGATCCCAAGGACTTGCTGGTCACCAGTAAGGTTCCAGGTCTAGTGAGAGACCCAGTCTGAAAGAAAAAAAAATCAAAGAATGATAGGACGGGACATTCAATGTCCTCTTCTGGCTTCTGCAAGCACACACATACACAGGCATGCATACCCACACATACAGGTGTACATACACCATACTCACACACATAAATATGCATACACCCACAAAGTGTGTGTGCGTGTGTGTGTGTGTGTGTGTGTGTGTGTGTGTGTGTGTGTGTACATCTGTAAACCAACTGAGGACTATAATTTTAACTTTCCTACAGCACAATAAAACATTTTAATAATTTGTTGTATTAAGAATGCAGAAAACTGGCGCTGGAGAGATGGCTCAGAGGTTAAGAGCACCGACTGCTCCTCCAGAGGTCCTGAGTTCAATTCCCAGCACCCACATGGTGGCTCACAACCATCTGTGATGAGATCTGGTGCCCTCTTCTGTATACATAATAAATAAATAAATCTTTAAAAAAAAAAAAAAATGCAGAAAACTGGGCTGCGGATATAGCTCAATGTGGCAAGCTCGCTTAGCACGCACAAGTTCCGGGTTTCATACCCAGAAACACACAACACACATACGTGTTCACAGGTATACATGGGTATAGGCAAAAACTGAATGCTACAACATGCTATTTCCTACAAGGTAGCCCGATTTTTCTACTCTATTCCTTTAAGCACCACTTTTCTACACTAGCAGCTCCACCGTTGACGTCCCGACTTCCTTCCCCTATAGAGATGTGCCATCAAAATTTATAAGCAAGTCTTAAGAAAAATGGAGATGCAGTGTTTTGGCTCACCTTGGTTAATTTCATTTCTAATCAGCACTTGGAAATTTATTGTCCTCATTTGGCCATGGCCCTCCTAAGTTTTTCATGGACTTAGATTAATCTCCACTTCCCTTCTAGGCTGACCTTAAGGCTGTCACCTGCATGGTTAAGGTAGCTTTCCGGACGTCAATATTTCATTTTAGGAATGAGAAATAAGAATGATTTAGTATAGGTAAATCCAATCTCATGGCAAAATAAATGTTTTTACTTAAGGCCAATAATCCTTTCACACTGAAAGCATTCTGATTTCTTTTTGTTCCTCTGAACGTGACCTCCAATTCTTTACTTAAGACACTTGTTATAGACATATTCCCACTCACAGTCCCAAATAAAGTTTTGTGGGCAACTTGAAATCATAATTAGTTTTGGAAAGATAGATATACTAAACCCATCCTCTGTAAGGGAGGTGAGGACGCAGCACTTAGCTGACCTGTGGCTTAGGTTGGCTCACCATCCTCTGAATGGAGTCCAATATGGATTCCATCATAAGACAAGACTGCTTCATTTACTCCCCTAATGACGTCATCATTTTTGGTACCATGATTCCCATTTAGGAGATGAAAAAATACAAACTTAAGGAAATTCAGCAGCCTGTCCACAAAGCAGCAGGTTCAGGATTTGAACCCTTGGGCTTTCACTGGTTTGTCTTCCAGTTTGTCATAAAAGGAAAGGACTTCATGACAAAACACCGAAAAGTAGTCACAGTGCTTACAGCTTCTTAAAAGAAAAGCCACATATGGGTTCAAGAAGCCACTCTCCACACAAAGATCGGGCCAGACTGGTGCTTCCATGCAGCCTTTTCTGCTGCGATATCACAGGGGCTCTTTTCCTGTTCTGACCACCTACCAAGCTTTCGGTTTATTTTGAAATGTTAGTACATCATGGTGTCAATCTCCTTGTTCTCTGCTGTGTTTTTATTTCCTTAAAAGCCCATCATTCTCCCAAAGCAAATACTGACCTTTCTTATTCCTGACAGAAACATCCAAGATTTGCAATGGATACTGAAGCTGCAGATAATAATCCAGAGCCTTTATATATTATGAATTTGTTCCTGATTCATAATTCTTATGATGACATTTAATTTATAAGTCATGTAAAATAAGAGATTGACAACACTAATTCAAATGAGAAACACTATCAAAATATATTCTGAGAAAGTTTGTGTGAATGCAATTTCTCTTTTTTTCTTCCTCTCAAACTATATTGCACTGTGTACCTTCTTGTGAGGATGTAAGATGATGTAACGTCAAACATGAGCTAAAAGAGGCAAATACACAGGTATTGTAACAAGGAATCATGATGCCATATAAGGATTATTTAAAACCATTTTAATGTGGCAGTCCATTTGATAACTGAGGTGACAATCAACTAGTGGATGGGTAGCATATACAGAGTAGATATAATGCAAGTGGAAGATTCATAGTCCAGGAAAATAAAATGAGATATTTTATGCTACTGAAAGTAGTATATAATTTAAAACTCATGTTTCATTTATTTCTGGAGTTTCCATTTAATAATTTTGGACTATGGTTGAACATAGGGGGGCTACAATTACAGAAGTCAAAACAGCCAGGAAGAGGAGATTATTGTTCACTCTATTTATTTTACGTCTGTTATGAGACCAGAAGAGGTACTATACCAGAATTAGAATCCCTGCTCAATCCACATCAGTTTGAAAGAGTTTTAAGTGCAAACAAAATATAAATTATAAGAAATTAGAATATTAAACCCACATTCACAGAACTATTGTGCTAACTGATGGTGTCTTTGGATATCCTAAAAACATATTTCTGGTATCTTAAGTGAATTTTTTATGGCAAAGAGTGCTGTTTCTTTCAGAAATTTTCTTATTTTATTCTTAACTGACATCATTATACAGATTTAAGAGGTATAATATGATACTTTGATACATATGTACCCCGTGAAATAATCCAACAGAGTTAGCATGGCTATCACCTCAAACACTTATTGTTCCTTTTGTGGTGAAACAGTCAATATCTCCTCCAGCCATTTGGAAGTAGAGAGTATATGACGGTCAACAATAATCAGCCAGTCGTGCAGCAGAACACCAGGGCTTGCTCCTACTAATTCTCACTTTATTCTCCTGAACCAGCCTTCCCCTACTTCTCCTTGATCCTACCCTCTCCAGCATCTGCTAGCGATTACCCCACTGTCTAAGTCTACAAACCTGACATTTTGTTTCATATATAAGTAAGATCATGGGGTCTTTGTCTTTCTGTACCTGGCTTATTTCACTTTGATAACCTTTTCTCTTTAATTTCCTTCATTAAATCATGGGCCAACTTATCTGTGAGGCATAATGAACTGGGGAGCCAGAAATAGTTGGATTTGAATATCAACACTGCCATTCAAAACACTGAGCATATTATTTGCCTCTGAGAACCCCAGTTCCTTCAGTTGTAAAATAAAGGCAATAAACAGCACTCTGGAGATCAGGAGCCTCTTTGCTTCTGTTAGGCAAGCACTTAGGTGTCTGACATCACTGTAAAGAAAGTGTCTACACAGATCAGTCTAGAAAAGCTTGGGAAATCCATAGGATCCCAGTGAAATTACTTTCTTCCGTGTATAAGAATCTCTCAGCAAGAAGCATTCAATAGACAAGGGTGAGAATAATGAGTGACACCCTCAGAGCAAATGACATAAGCGACCCTGTAGGCTGTAGAGTGGCCTTGGGACAGATGACGTCAAGCAGAATATCAGTGCTGATGGCATTGTCCTTTACTTTGTCCTATAGATCATATGCCCAAGTCCGTGCAATCCTTTACTTCTTATCCAGCTAGGACTCCTACTCCTTCAGCCTGGATGACCTTCAGCCTGTGTTTATCCTTCATAATTTTTTTTCTTATACTGCCAGATCACCACTGAAGCATGAAACTTTATTTCACTCCTCTCAATGTCTTCTCTTTTGATCTTCAAGAACCTCAGCCAAACATTTTCTTCTGTAAATCAAAAGCTTTTCCTTTCAATTATTGTGTCTGATGTGGGCTTCAGGAGTTATTTTGAAGTTTTTTTCATCTCTATTTTTTTCTTTCTCTCATTTCAAAAAGCCTGCTTCTTTAAGAATTATTTTTTTTGGAAACCTCTGAATGAGTAAGATAATGGTCCCATGAAAAGAAGAACAGAAAGAGGAATTACCAAGGTTGACATTTCAGTCTAATATGATATGACTTTGCAGAGCAGATATTTGCATGTGTCACTTCTTGACTAAAAACTGTCAATGCTTTGAAGTCCAAGGTTTAATCTTGTCCCTCTGTATATTTCTCCAAGTATCTAACTGCTCGTCTTGCACAAAGTAAAAAGCAAATATTTGTTGAATTCATCTGAAAGAAAAAAAATCTGTGCTTTTTTTTTTTTTAACCCAAGGTCAAAGTCACACAGAATGACTTGGAAAATAGTAACTACAGGCAGCTCAATGTAGTAACTAGTAGATACAGATTTGCAAAGCAATTGTATTTTCAAAATTAAAACCATGCTGCACATTGTATTGGCCTTGTTGCTAAGGCAAAGGCCATATTGTAAGTGAGACAAGTACCGCAAATTCAAATGTTCTTTACATATCCTGCAGGAATTTCAGTAATCAGCCTAAATAAACTGTGACTCACCTGATTATCTGTGCCCGTGAATAACCCAAAGCAAATCAGTTATAAAAAGTAAGGAATATTAATTGGAGATGATGAAAATAAAACTTTGGGAGCTGTTTCCTCTGGTTTCTGAGATACAGGATGTTTTGTCAGCTTGAAACTACTCACTATTTATTTATTGTGCCTTTTTGCTGTTTTTACTTAGGCGACAAAGGGGAAAAGGGTCTGCTCGGGATTCCAGGAGAAAAAGGCAAGGCAGGTAGGAACGACATGCTCATTTTGTTTTTCGTTGATTTCTGACACCACTCCAAACGTGTCCAGCTCAAAACTATACAAAGCATGGCTGCTGATGCAGCTGGTGTGAGCATCTGAGCGAAATGCTAGCCTGTGGCTGGCCTCCTGTGCTGATCCTTTAAGGCTACTTGGCTTCAAGAGCTGGAGGAGTCCTCAGAGAGCTCAGCTTGTAATTTTTTGATACGAGGAAGTGCAGTACGTGATTTGGGGGAGAATTCCAGTTGTTTCTATTCACAGTGGTCTAGTGAAGACCCATTCAAAGAACTACCTTATATTCCTTGCGTTTATCTGTGTACATGGATCAATTAAAGAACAGGGTATTTTTCCAATTGGCTAATAAAATTAGATTAACTTCTCATACTGCCAAGTAGTAAAGAAATGGAAAACTATACACAGCCACCATTACACAGAAATAAAAGAGAACCGTTTGAGTTTACCACCGTGTTCTTTGATTCTGCTTCTCCTCACTATAACAGGAGGCAGTTAGAAAGCGGAGTGAGTAAAGGAAGCTGCACAACAAATTAAAATAATAGCTAACTCATAAACTGGACGGCTGCCCTTTAAAATTTAAACTGCATCTATTCCCAGTATTTAAATGTAGTCTTTGAAACTTGACAGCTTTACTTTTCATGGATAATCAGAGTTAACATGTGATTGAATCATGAAAAGTTTCTTCTATCTTGGGAGAGCTGTGTGAGCTCGTGAATAATGCAGTACCAGGAGAGAGGCCTGGCTGCAAATATGTTTTAAGGAAGCTGTAAAAAGTTTCTTCTGAAATTGAGCACACCGTTTCTGGACTCAACAAAAATGCCAAATGGCCCACTGTGTGTACACAGTGGTTTGTCTCATTCATTCTTTGTAAAACTATTTAGAGTTTTTTTTTAACTCATTCCAAACAATTTCTTTTTTTTTTTTCTTTTTTTTTTTTTTTTGGTTTTTCGAGACAGGGTTTCTCTGTGTAGCTTTGCGCCTTTCCTGGAACTCGCTTTGGAGACCAGGCTGGCCTCGAACTCACAGAGATCCGCCTCCCTCTGCCTCCCGAGTGCTGGGATTAAAGGCATGCGCCACCACCGCCCGGCCCAAACAATTTCTAAAGAATGTTTTATGAATTCTTAAAGATAAAATAAAATAGAAACCGTGTTTTAAATCAAAAGTTAAACACTTGGTGGTTTATAAAGAGATGTACCCGAGCTAGAAAATGGTAGAAAACATGGAAAACACTGAGAAAAGAGAATGGTTCTCTCCAATGTGTCTTCATGTACTTCAATGTGAATTCATAGCTGTTTCATTTACCAGGTACCATCTGCGACTGTGGGAGATATCGGAAAGTGGTTGGACAACTGGATATTAGTGTTGCTCGTCTTAAGACATCTATGAAGTTCATCAAGAACGGTAAGCATAGAAAATGTCTCAAGTCAAGCAAAGTATCACAGTTCAAAAGCCTCCCAAAATATTGATTATTCTCTCAGAATTCAATATTTTTTATTTCACTGCACAGAATCAATTATATGCATGTGGTATATTGGCTGGAAAATGGTCTTTGCTAAAAAGAGGGTATTAATTCCACTGAACAAGAGTAAAGACCATTCCTTAAATTCTTTGGTCAAATTAAGCAAGTTTTATTTTCTGTCGGACAGGGCTATCTCCCTAAAGTGGGGTTTGAGAAAATAGCATTGAACATGGGGAAAAGTAGGGCTTAAATACCCTCCACACTACAAAGCTAGGGGTTTTCTAAGGGTTTTTGGTTACATAGAAATGTGGCAGAACATCTTAGCTTATCAGGGTGTAGGTTAGGATATAAGGTATGAAACGTCAAATTCCAGAAAACGAGTCAAGACCTGGTCAAATCCAAGTCTAAAGAAAATGGGAATGAACTTATTTTGACCTTGTAACAAGATGGCTTCTAATCTTAAAATAAAGTCAGGCTGGTCTACCAAGGGGAAGAAGAAAAGAGCAGAGTTGGGCAAACTGTGCCAAAAGAATAAAGAGAGAGAGAGAGTCAAATAGAAACAGCACCTTAGAAAATATCAACAGAAATATGGCTACTTCCTTGAGTACCTGGGATAGCACATAACTACTAACAATATAGCATTTAGTGTTTTTCATTATTATGTTGCAAGTGCTGTGAGTCAACTGAAGCCTGGAGAATGCCATGCCCAAGGATACAGATAGCCGAGGAGGGTTTTCTTGACTCCTCTGCCAATAATGTATTCAGTACAGGTCTTATGTGTGTCTATAAATTTTTCAACTTGACCGTTTTTCTTGCCCTTTGTCTGTTTCCCACACTAAGCAGCAGTAAAGTCTTCAACTTGGAAAGGGCTGTGCTGAGACAGTTTTATTGAAGGAACTGATGCAGTGACTATCATGGCTGATTTCAGCTGGCTGGACTTTCACTTAGTGTAATCTAGATGTATGTGTTACACATTAGTGGAAGCACACAAATGCCATCTTGTATTCAGAGTCAACATGTAATGATAGAGGCCTAGGAAATACTAAAGCTTAACTAAGCAACGTAATTGGATTAAGTTCTAGCTGTAAGTCATAGATAAGATTCTGTATCTTGGGGCTGGAAAAGAAGGCTCAGCAGTTAAGAGCTTGTACTGCTCTTTCAGAGGATCCCAGTTCAGTTCCTAACACTCATGTCAAGCAGTTCACAGGTGCCTGTAAGTCCATTTCCAGAGGATCTGACACCACATCTGATTTCCATGGGCACCCTCACATAGCATGGCCTATACATAGACACAATGTATTTATATGGATATGTATGTATATGTATATATATACAAATTTAAAAATAGAATTCTCTATTTTAAATGACTCAGACAAACACGAACACATCAGAACCAAAAGTTATAACATTTCAGTGACCACAAATTTCTTGGTGAAGCTAAAGACCCCAAAAATGAAGCCAAAAAGCACAAAGAACGTATTATGAGTTGAAGTTGATTGTCAATGCCTAGTTGAATCTTGACACTGAGTCCATGGCTAAGTTTCACTTACAGCTGTGTGGATAATCTCAATCATTGTGTATGTCCATATCATAGAAACTCGACCTGAAGTGGACAAACTTTTTATTATTCCTAGACTGTCAATTTTATTTGTTTTTAATAAGCATTCCTCATTTCTTGGGCTGTTCCAGGCACTGGACTGAAGAGTGTCAGACATGGGCACTGACCTCAAGACATTCCCAGTTCAAGGGAAGATACACACAAGCAAGCAGAGAGTAGATTGGAAGGGACCCTGGGAACATAGACGACTCCATGTCCAGCAAGGGGCATTGGAAAAGCTTTATATAGGAAAACACATTTTCTCTGAGATCTAGAAAAAACAGCAGGGTCTTCCCAGGCATGAAAAATGTGAATATAGAAGAAAGGGGGACAAGTATACCTGAAACATAAGCTAGGTTAAAAAAAAAATGGTGAGGTGCTCTGGGTAGCAGCTCTTGTTAATTGGGCTTTGTTACCAGGGCTGCTATTGGACAGATGCGTGGGAAGCTAAGAAGGAAGAGGAGGGAGGACAGATGGTAGACTGTTGTTTTCACTTGATAAACAGAAAGGCACAGAAGAAAGGGAAAGAGTAACTACCTCATTATGACCTTGCAAAACAGCTCTTGAATGCTGAGTAAGTGCATTGAGATCTGACAATATTATACAGGTATTTGCTTCTTCTTTTCTTGAGACATGTTAATGATATTCTTCTTCTCCTCCCTTCAGTCATAGCAGGGATCCGGGAAACTGAAGAGAAGTTCTACTACATCGTGCAGGAGGAGAAGAACTACAGGGAATCCCTGACCCACTGCAGGATCCGGGGAGGAATGCTAGCCATGCCTAAGGACGAGGTCATTAACACTCTTCTTGCTGACTACGTCGCCAAGAGCGGCTTCTTCCGAGTGTTCATTGGGGTGAATGACCTTGAGAGAGAAGGGCAGTACGTCTTCACAGACAATAGCCCATTGCAGAACTACAGCAACTGGAAAGAGGGAGAGCCTAGCGATCCCTATGGCCATGAGGACTGTGTGGAGATGCTGAGCTCCGGCAGGTGGAATGACACAGAGTGTCATCTTACCATGTATTTTGTCTGTGAGTTTGTCAAGAAGAAGAGATAATCTCCCTCATGTTACACAGTCATTCTTCTCTTAGGCCTCCCAACAGTTTTATCCATCTTTGTCCTTCCTAATTACACTGCTTTACTAAAATGACGTAAGAGTCCTGTATCCACTATCTTCTTCTTCTGTGTCAATTGTGACAATTTTATGCATACTGTTTGCTCAGTACGTTCTTGGGGATCTTTCTCTCCCATTTCTCTTTACCTCTTTAACTTAATAGAAAGAAGACTCCAGAACTCTGAACAGAAATGGAGAGGGTTGTTCCTAAACAACACATGTTATTGTCCTTTTGTTAAATTGCCCCTTGCTATTAATGGCTCCATCTTTTTTTCATAAATGTGTTCATGTAAACATTCCTGACCTTCAACATAGAGAATGGGAGCCGGGTAAAGCCTTCAGAAAACTCTCAAAGCGTTAAAGTGCTACCATCTCCAAGGGCCCTTACCCTTCCATCTAATATGTTACTCCTGGAAAAATTTCAAGGGAGGCCTTTCACTCTCTGTAAATGAGTGTTGCTGGAGGTGCCCTTCCTATTATTTTGACATCACAGGGCTATGTCGGGCACAACATTTGGAATGTATATAGAATCCTCATTTACCGAGTTGGCAGCAGGCTACCTTTAGCTGCAGATCAAACCTCAAAGCAGCTTTCGTCTGGCATTTGAAAATAAACAGTTGAACAAATCTCCAGCTTATCTCCTTCTAAACTGATGCTCCACTTTCAGGTTGTGACACATGATTCGATTGTTTAAAATGCTGGCAAAGCAGTTAATGAAATAAGAGGAACAGATCAACAGCATATGCTCTCCTTAAGCCATCTGTTCATGACGTTGCCCATGACTAACGGGTTGAGAGATGGGATTTACTGACATTAGTTCCATGAATTCAACAAGAGTTACAAACCCATGTACTACAGAGTCCAGAGAGATGGCATAAATAGATGAACTGGAAGGAGTGAGGCCCCTTATCCACTAAGCACAACCTGCTCTCTGAAGGAACTAGCTACTCCTTAACTACTACAGTTGCTGCCACACAGGACCCAGCATCGCTGCAAGCCAGTGTCCTGACATTTGAACAGAAGTCAGACAGCTGCAATGTTATAACTCCATATTTTTAAGTGTTGACAATTAATCAATATCTAACCTAGATTTTAAGCCCTCCAAACGTCTGCTAGCCAAATTGTGAACTTTCCATTTCCATCTCTGGGGAAAGTTCTAATTGCGCCAGGTGTCATTAGGAAATGATGACATCAGAGTCAGGTCTCTCGTGAATGCCTTATTCAGTTCACCTCAACAGGAGAAATTTGTTAAGTCTTTGACATTTATCAGGTTATTAAACTAGTTACAGAGTCTCTTTTGAGAATGTGGCTTAGGGTATTCTGAAGGCTGATCAGTTGAATACAACTACAATTCAGGGCACCAGGCCAAAGGCCAGCCAAGATCTCAGAGAACTGGAACACCCAGAAACATGCAGAGGAAAAAGGGGGCTGAAGAAAGGGCTGAGAGGAAAGGGAGGCAGCCAAGAGCAAACACAGCCTAGAGCGGCTCCTGTTGGATCCGTGCTCGCAATTGCTCTGAGTCCCTGAAGTCTGAATGTTTTGAACATATGGCAAATGCTATCATTTCTATTATAAATGGTATAATGCTAACAGTTCTCTCAATAACTCACTTTAGTTTGGAGGAGGCTTCTAAGAGTAGATGACAGCTTCAAAGAATAGGCTCTATACTGCAGCCTTGCCTGGAAGAACCTCTTAAGACATTACGTATTTAATTAGAATTACACGAAAATGTATATCTTTTTTCTATCTTTCTTTCAAGGTAGAGTATCAGTATATAACCCAGGCTGTGCTTGAACTCTCAGTCTTCCTGCCTCAGCTTCCTGGGTGCTAGGAAGATCCCTAGATTGCATGCTTGGAAGATAGCAAGATATATATGGGGCAGGGAGAAATTAAGTGAACAGCATGACTCATAGCATTGTCTACAGAGAGACTGAATTTGTACAGGTGTTATTGCTGATGAGAAAGTGGTCATGTGGTTTCATTCAGGGTGATACATGTGTGAAAACATTGCTCAAAAATTCAAACCCTAGATCTGGCATCATGGCTGCCTAAATGTCCTTCCTTTCTTACTGTGACCTTTCCTGGCCATATTATGAGAATAATTTAAATGTTCTTTATCTCTTGTGTCCTTATCATTTTCTCTTTGTGGAGAACCTTGACAACTAACAAGGAATTATGGTGAGGTATTTGGAAGAGTACCAGCTAGACACACTGTATGTGTGCCACAGACTTAGACATTACTACTAGCTACGTGTGCTATGAGATGCATAAGAGAAACAAAGAATATTTTGTGATATAAAAAAAACCTAAGTAAATATATGTCAACATGTTATAAATAGAGAATCTATATTTAACTACACAAAATACAAGTTTTAAAACATAAAAGTAAAATCACCTGGAGAGATAGCTCAGTGGCAAAGAGTCTATGTTGCTCTTTCAGTGGACTCTAGCTAAGTTCCCAGCATCTACAATATTTGGCTAACAATTGTCTGTAACTCCAACTCCAAGGGGTTGCAGACTTTTATCTGGACTCCATGGGCACTTGCTCTCACATGTACACAGTCTCATACACAGATATACATATATGCACATAACTTTAAAAGTAAAATAAATCTTTTGTAAAAGTAAAACTATTAGCTGTGTTGCCTTTAGCTTATTATGCCTTCATACTACAGCTGAATCCTCTCATTTATGAAGGAAAACTTCTATTATATCATTTCAAATGGAGATTGAAGAATAATCATTTTCCATTGACCCTGTATATATAAACCTTTATATAACATAAGGATGTGTTTCACTGTAACTCTAACAGATGGTCATTCAGTCTGCATTTGAATGTTTTGGTAATTTAATAAGCTCTTATAGCAAATTAAAATACATTTCATCTAATTTGCACCCATTGTCCTTGTTCTGCCTTTTGGCATTTATAATTGAGAAATTGAGTCCTGAGATCAGCTGGGGAATCAACAGCAAGCTCTTAAGGAAAGGCAATGCTGGAAGAAGAATTTTCCTTGCCATGCCAAACATCATCAAAGTGATGCCCAGTACCACAACGTTCTCAAATCCTAAAGAGTGTGCAACATGACCAATAATTCAAGTTGTATGCATGAGTCACAAGAGGCAGACATGAAAAGTGTGGATAGTAATCGACTGGGACATCTCAATCAAAGATAATTTATTCGTTGGGATGGAGTGAGTATGTTACACGGGGTCTAACATCTTGGGGAAGACACTATAAATAGATGGTTTGTAAAGCCCATAGAAAGGATTAAGGATGGCTGTCCAGCAGCAGTGGGACAATGAAGTCAAGATCAGGATCCATGTGTAGAAAAGCATGAAGTTTTCTTGAGGAGCAGTTAAATAAGCTATGTTTAGTATAACAGCAGAATTCATTAACTTCAGCATCCATCATACATACTATGGTCTAATATGTTTCGGGTGGTATCATGTCAAGATGGGAACTGGAAAATACCATGGAGAAGATAGCTCAGATTCCAGCCTAGTGAGCAAAGCTTACTTCAGATTCTTTGTACATCAAGCCTATGATAATGAGGTTCAAGATTGAAGGCATTGCCAAGGTTATATAAAGGCATGCTGCTTTTACATCATGTTGTTATAACATAATCTCTTCTACAGTATGCTAAAATAAATTGGCTGAAGAGTTTTTGTAGGAGGATTTACATCACCCTTTCTCAAAGAGTAACACTGACACATCTGTTCAAATAAATTAATTCATCTATTTTGGCTTACTCATTTTTATGTGAACACGAAGTTCCCATGTCATTGTGTACATCCACCCACATTATTTCCTAACAAGATAGAATATCCTTGTGTTTGTACATGAATGAACATTGACAGGTTCTAAATGTTCATTCTGCTGACCTGAAGGGACTTGAGCCAGCCCAGGCCTAGCAAACATGGCACTGGAAGGCCTTTCCCTTCTTCCCAATTTCCTCTGTCTTACTAAAAAAAAACATTAGATTATATTTCTGGAGTTAGCTACCAAGGTCTATTCCCTTATTTGACCAATCCCTCCTCCTGAGGCTAACTACAAAGGTCCAGCTACCAAAGTGTTGAAGTCCAGCAATCAAAAACCCCCTTTGTCTCACCTAGTTCTAGTTAACATGCCCAATTAAAATTAAACATCTCATCCTAACACAGGGTTTCCCATTTTACCTTTATAAACCACCATTTCCTATGTGCCATGTCTGTCTCCTCTCTATCCAGAGGCAATCCTTTGTTGCCCTGTAACAAATACCCCTTATCCGTCTCCCCTGCCCCTTTTCTCCCCTGTCCCTTGTTTCCTTCCTCCTCTCCACATTCCTCTAGCTCCAGTCTTTGTCACTTATCCCTGTCTTCTGTTGCTTTGGGGCAAATAAATCTCCTTTGTGCTGAGAACTTTGTCTGGGGAGTCCTGAGCTGACCCCATTCCTTTCATGAGCTACACCACAGTCAGTAAAGCTCTGATTTGCCCCAGATTGTCAGTTTTATAGTGAAATATGAAGTGGGGAGAAAAGTGATACCTTCATTTTATAATTGACTAAACTGTGATTATAGCGAGCCTAACCTACTACTTGTAATTCAGTTTGGGAAGTAAATAAGATTTCTGTGCATCAGTACAATTTAAAACTACAGGACCCTTTGGTACGTGTGTTATTCTCATTATGAATCTTAGCTTAACTTATCAATAATTAATTGCTGCTTTTTGTGTACATCCCATCAGTCTGCCTCCAGGAGCTAAGCTGAAGATGGGGACTGGTTTCAGTCCACCCTTTGACCTACTGAGAGAATTCTAGTCCCGGAAAGAGTACTCATAACTTCAATCATGATGTGTAAACTATCCAAGAAGTCACAGAAGCACAGCCAAGCCTTGAGAAAATAAAGTAACATTCACTTTCAATCCAATAAGATGATTGTAAATATTAAACTGAGAAACATAGTCTGCATGGTATGAAATTAAGGGATGAGAGGCTCTTCTCTGACTATCCACAACTTTACAAAGCTATATACTGAAGCAACTCACATAAGGGAACCCTAGAGAAAGCTCGCCAGCAGAAAGGATTTGTTTCAGAAGTGGACGCTTTCAGGAAATGTTAATGTTTTAAAACCTTTTCCTCAAATTTCTTCTGAGAGTTTATCTTTGACTTTTCTGTGCTTTTCAGGGATGCACATTCTTAGATGCTGAGGCACTTGTGTGCCATTTCATGTGACACAGATGCTTGCCCTAAAGAAGATTAGAAAAGACACAAAGAAAAGAGTCAATAAACACAGGTACATGTTACTTTGCTCATGGTTGTGACCAACTTCCTGACAATGTAATTTATGAGAGGAAAGATGTATTTGAGCTCATATAGTCCATTACAGCAGGGAAGGCATGGTGGTAGGCAGCTCAGTAGCAGGACTGTGCAACAGTTGCTCCCATCTTACATCAGGTCAGGCAGGCGAGGAGGAAGACTAGGATCCTGGCAGGTGCACACTTCCCAGTGTGTCTGCTTTAGGTTCTCCCACACTTCTGCTCACAGCCCTCACTCAGACTCTGTAAATGGCACTGGTAAACTTTGGTTTCCCCAGGCTGAATTTCAATTTGGTTTGTGTCCAAGACATTAGCAGGAGGAGGTAAGAAGCTGCTCAGCCCCTCACCACAACCCAGAGCTAAAAGTTCTTATGCCAATCAGTAAATCAAATGGGACAGTATGTTATATTGCTTTTCACCTAGGTGATGGGATCATGGGCCTACTAGATACTTTTAATGGAGACCTAGTTGGCCAAACATGAAGTTTCTGAAGAAAATTCCAAGAACAAATGGAATATGATACAGAAAACGATCAAATTTGATGAAATCTTGAGGATGTAATTTTCCAAGACTTCTAACACCCCATGGTTGCCCAAGGATGTCTTCTGTCTACCACTGTATGGAGTAGTTTCCCTGCCATGCTTCTTCACACCCAGTAGCTTCAGCCATGTTCTTCCATGGACAAATGTAACTAGAGTTTTCCTGCCCACAGTCAGGACAAATCTTTGTCACCTGCCAGTCCCACAGCTGCTCAGACCCAACCAAGTAAACACAGAGACTTATATTGCATACAAACTGTATGGCCGTGGCAGGCTTCTTGCTAACTGTTCTTATAGCTTAAATTAATCCATTTCCATAAATCTATACCTTGCCACATGGCTCATGGCTTACTGGCATCTTCACATGCTGCTTGTCATGGTGACAGCTGGCAGTGACTCCTTCCGCCTTCCTGTTCTTTTCTCCTCTCTGTTAGTCCCGCCTATACTTCCTGTCTAGCCACTGGCCAATCAGTGTTTTATTTATTGACCAATCAGAGTAATTTGACATACAGACCATCCCACAGCACTTCCCCTTTTCTTTCTTTCTTTCTTTTTTTTTTTTTTTAAAGAGGAAGGTTTTAACTTTTACACATCTCCAAAGCCAGCTTGGTATATTTGGGAATTTGGGCGTAGCTTCTCTTACTACTTCCTGCTGGAGGGGGGGGGGTGTTGCATCTTATGGGGACACAAAGAAAATTTTAGGATTATGGAGTAGTCTGTGAGGGTGTATCGTCTGAGCCAGTTGCCTTGAAACGGTTCTGGATGTTGGATCATCTGGGCCTTGGTGTCATCGGAGACCTTTCAGGGGGTCTTGGCTGGTCAAACCTGATGTATCTTAATCTGGAACAAATCCATAGCCTCTGGCTTTCTGTGGAAACAAAAGCAGAGCCTCCTTTCCAAAGCAACATATCCTTACATCCAAATTTTGAAGTCAAGGTACCTTTAAAATATACATTTTGGCATAACTCAACAGCTTTTGCAATCAAATGTTTTTCTTCAGTTACGAATATCAAAGAGAACATAATCCAGAGTCTCTGTGTGGTAGCCATCTTTACGTGGCTTATTTTTTATATTACCTTGAGCCTATTGCTTTAACTGCAGCATTCTAAGACTGAAACGGTGCTGGTGCTGTGGCTGCTGGCTCCGCCCACATCAGCTTCCCAACATGGTGGTGGTACATTTTCTGCCAGCTCTGGGAGCCATCAACTCTCGGAAATAGTGGGTCTATGCTCCTATCAAAGCAGTGTGTAGCCCAGAAACCTATTTTTTTTGTTTTGTACTAGCAAAGGCTAAATCCATGACACAGCTTAATGTGCCACTTGCAGAGGCCTCATTCCCAACAAACTACAGGTCGAGCGCACACGCCAGAAACCCGCCATAGTAGCTCAAACACACAGGCTGAGAGAAACAACTAGGAACTGTTTTTAGCTCCGTTTTAGAATCTTTTTTCTTAGGTTTTAGGTGGAAACTCTTGTCAACATGTTGGGCGTCATTTGTAACTAGAGTTTTCCTGCCTTGCCCACAGTCAGGACAAATCTCTGTCACCCCCCAGTCCCACAGCCGCTCAGACCCAACCAAGTAAACACAGAGACTTATATTGCTTACAAACTGTATGGCTGTGGCAGGCTTCTTGCTAACTGTTCTTATAGCTTAAATTAATCCATTTCCAGCCGGGCGGTGGTGGCGCACGCCTTTAATCCCAGCACTCGGGAGGCAGAGCCAGGCGGATCTCTGTGAGTTCGAGGCCAGCCTGGGCTACCAAGTGAGTTCCAGGAAAGGCGCAAAGCTACACAGAGAAACCCTGTCTCGAAAAACCAAAAAAAAAAAAAAAATTAATCCATTTCCATAAATCTATACCTTGCCACGTGGCTCATGGCTTACTGGCATCTTCACATGCTGCTTGTCATGGTGACAGCTGGCAGTAACTCC